GAATCTTGGCCAGGTCACGGCCCCTCGTCAGCCGACTGCCCGCCAAAAACTTTACCGTGGATGCCGGCCCCGTGCTTTCCGGGAGATAACAGAGGCTGCTTCCCCATTCTGCCAGATCCCGGCTGAGGACCTGCACACGCACTTCTCCCGCGTCCATCGCCGGGGGCTTCAAAACATGTGCCTGTGGAAGTACCGCGCTACGCCGAAAACGACCGGAACCCGTTTGCAACCGACTTCACCGCGCCGGGCCCAGACGGAATCGCTACTCCGTCTGGAAGAAGTTTGACGCTGGCGGCCCAATCCTTGCGGCCGTCTTTAACGGTGTGACGCGGCTGGCTCACATTCCGCGGACTTAGACGACCTCGCAAACAATCCTCCTATACAAAAAGGGAGATAAGGCCGACATCACCAACTAAGCAACACCAGCGCGAAGGTGTATGCATCGGTGCTGGCGGTTGGGAGGAGTCAACCTCCTGCCCACGAGTCTCCTCGCTGAGGTGAGCCAGCTGGTCCACGGCTTCCGCCTGCTGCGGTCGACCACGCTGCAGCCGCTCTGTGGCGCGATGCTGCGGGCCGTGGTGAGGCAGCGCGTGCGCCGTGCCGTGCAGCCACGCGACCTGGTGGACTACCTCAACGGCCGCCTGGACGGAGACTTCGCCAGTGAAAGTGTCGAGGTCACCAACGTCTGGACGCGCCTTCGGACCGCCACCAGGCGCATCAGGCCGAAGATGGCTGTGGGGTGGGCCCTCGACGCTGACCAGCACCCGCAGCTGCAGCTCAACGCCTCTGCCCTGCAAGTAAAGGATGCGGAGGCCGCGCTGACACATGCCATCAGGGGCTATTTCCGGCAACGCCTGCTCAACAAACCTGATCAGGGCAAGGTCTACGCGGTGACGAGTGCCTCGACGCCGCCAAACCATTTTATGCGGAGCGGGAATTTTACTCGCTTCGCGGAGTGGCGGTTCGTGCACCGAGCCCGCCTCGACTGTGTGCCCCTGAACGGGTCCCG